AATGTTTCATTTATGATTTCGTTTAAAACACCATTACACGTCAACGAAAATATTGCATTCGATTCGGATATGCATCAACACAGCACTGAATTATAATTAACACATGCACATTACCATAGTAATAATTTAATTTTTCAGTTGGACTTAGATCGTACCCGATGAATCATTATTGAGAGCATTTCAATGTTGTGAAATTTTTTGTTTATGTCAAAGTACTTTTCACATGCTCAATAATATCGAATGCACGGAAAAGCAATCAAAATTCATAATAACAACAATAAATGCAATGGAATCAATCAATCACAAATAAAAGCAACATTTACTCACACAAATCAGAAAGAAACGAATTTGATTAACAAAACAGCAATGAATCATATGACTAGAACTAGATAACATGCTTATTACGATCTCTGTGTCGTAATGAAAAAGGCAGCAAAATATGAGCCAAATGAAGGAATCCGAACACAAACACCGATATCGCCATACTGATCACATAATGACTTATACTTGTACCGATTTCAAGCCAACTCCCTTCGTCAGTTAATTGCGTAAAGAATATCTGAAAACCATCAGCAAATTATGTGGAGAAACACAAATGCAGAACATAAGTATGCAGTTATGATATCCTTCCGTCATCATGACTGNTTAAAATGAAATTCCAGTGGGTTGTAGCATAAATGTGGTACGTCATTTGCAGCAAAAGCATTTTAAAAAGGAAAACTATCTGACAACTCAGCGCTAAAAATAACAGCGGAGGCAATGACGAACCATAGCCATAGCATCGGTGATTATGAAGATAATATAAGCAAGACGTGAGAATGTGAGTTGTGCCGGTTGCAGAGTGGTGACGAATGCGAACGAAACGCTCAGAAACGGCAGCACAATTTTGAACAGCAATAGCGCGGTCATGATGAACGGTGAGAACGTCTGAATGAAGAGCCGTACGAAGGACGGATTGAAACTGTTGATCGAAGCGATATTGCCAGTACCGAAGAATGCCGTCTCAATCAACAACACCAACAATAACGCGTGCTTCAATTCCTGGCTCGAGTATGCACCTCCTCGCGCTTGCATCATATCTGCAATTCAATTCCTTTCCACTTGAATTATAACATCAAACTATCATTATACTACTCAAGTGATCATCACTCATACCCAACATGAGCGTTAATAAATAATAATAATGTCATGCCATAACAATCGAGTACGTCTACACTGTGCTTTAACAAAACAATGAAATAAAGAATGAGCAATGAACAAACCACACGATTTGCGACGGTGATCGTTGCTAATCACTGAGAGCGATAAGGAGAAGAACTGTTCATCGGTATAAGTTGAATATTCAAGTCGAACGTAGACGAAGAGAAGAACGAAGAAGAAATAGAGGAATAACGATTCGTATGAAAGACTGAGCAATGAGTATGGAACGAACACTGACGAGAACCAAATTATAAGTCGAATCACCAATAGAGATGGTGCGAATAGGGGCATCACGAAACAATACACAATCGAAAACCAACAAAAAAGTTTCTGGATTGCAAATAAACATCTCCAAAGAAAGCCCTGAAATCCCAGAAACCCTTCTGAATCTTTCATGAAACAGAAAACAAAATTTAAAAAAATCATCGGTATCATTATGTAAATGAATGACTTATAAAAACAAACCAGTGAATTTGCGTTAACAACGACGAAATTGTTGAGAAAAATAATGAACGCAATGAACAGATGCAGTAAAGCAGTTCGATGAAGAAGGGAATAGTGGATGAAATAGCGATGACGAGATAAGCACACAAGGCTTGCTGCCACCAGCAAACTGGCAGCGATGCAAGCCATTGAATTCGGTGTACTTCCGACCGGTGGCAACAATGGAAATATCGCTAAACACACACAAACCACTGACCACAATCGCTTCCTGCAACTCGAATAAAATTCTGCATGAAATTTTCAATTTTTTCGACATAATCCTAAAATAACTCACTGAATAAATATTCAAACATGAGATGTACTGAACTGAGAAAGACAGCAAAAAATTCGTTGTAACGAACCAAAATTTTAAATTGACGCCGTTGTATTCATCCGAATTCAAATGAACCGATAGAGTCATAAAAAGTAATGCAAATGACAGAAGCCATCGCTGTGTGAATACCGATGTCAACAGAAACAGTGCACTCCCTGCAAGTTAAGAGCCGNCGTATCATCGGCGCGGAATAATTTCCTTGCGATTGCCTACTACTATTAATAGCTGTGAGATAAACCAGTTACTACTGGTTAACTTCTGAACCTTTCAGATATCATTCCAAAAAATTGCCCGCAAAATAATCGTTTAAAAATCAAAACAAAATGAAAAAGAGCATGATGCAAACAAAAATCTCACCAATGCATAAGATAAGCAACGCAAAAATTTTCAAAGTTTTAGTTACGAATAGAAACGGCTGAGTGGTTATCTCGAAAATGAATGCAGATGAATGTATTCTCATCAGAATCGTTTTCAGCGATGAGTCACACACATTATAAGATATGCTGATCGTATAGAACGGTAACAGAATATAGATACAACTCGTTACTCTCATACCAATACCAACCAATACCAACGCTAGCAACGATAACATTGCACAAGCTGTTGGTTCGGGAGTGAATATCGCAATCTGATCATTCGCTTTCACGTTACTTCTGAAATTTTTCAATTTTACACATCAATTCAAACTTTAATTAGCGAAATGTAATTCAAATACAACTGCAACAGAGTCACTCTTGCAACCAGCAACCACATTTCTTTCCATACGACAAATTTGATTCAAAGATGAGCATTGCTCGGGAAAAGTGCGGAGAAATATAAGTTTGCGAGATAATAAGATCAGAGGGGTGAACCTTGTTGAGAAGAGGAATATAAGCCATATCCACGAGATAAAAGTGGAGGCAATGGCCGTTCCAAGTAACGTTCGTTCATAGCGATGAAAATAGAAGATACCATCTCTAACTTTATCGAAAAGTCGAATGCAAATCTGCGATGCTGCTTCGAATCTGAATGAGAGTCAATCACAACTCTACGTGAAAATCATTGTGACTCCGTTAGAAGAAATGACGATTTGATGATGACCTTTTCAATTTTATCAACCGTTGAATTTCCTTCTCAACTGATCGCAGTGCTTCAGGCTTCAAGTCTGGAAATTCCTTGAAGAAGATTGATAACGTATGCGATTTCTTTTCGTTTCTCTTGAAGGTGAATTGTTCTAACAGCTGCAAAGAAAACAACATAGACGATTCCAAATTACTATTATTATTATTTTCAGATGCGGACTCTTGCAGCTTCATCACAACTTTTATCAATAGCATTCCCACTATTGTCAATCATTATGAAGAAAATCGGTGTCTAGTTCGATTACAAAAACGAAACAATCATCATAAATCTTCTGATTCAAGTAACATGAATCACCATGATAACCAATCAATATGAAATAGGTATGGCAGAAAGTTCGCGGGCGATTAGACCCAAAATTTCAAAGTTAATAATAATAATAATAATAATAATAAGATAAAATTGAGCAAACTTGTTTCAGGTTTGCGTATGAGGCTTGGAAACGATATTTATGCGAAGTGTCGAGTACTTGAATCGGTAAACTACCAATACTATTCGTTGGTATCGGTATACCAAGTAACGATGACATTAACGGTGCCAGATCGATCTTAAAATTTAAGATCGAATGGAGAATAAATTTGATGCAGTATCATAGAACACTTCTTGGCTTTTGAATTCGTGAAAGGTAACATGGTACAATATCTTCCGAAGAAGCATCTATCGCTGGTTTAAGCATCTGTCGCTGTTCCACTCCAGTGGCTGATACCCTTCATGCTTCTTCATTTCAAATACCATTCAAGCGCCAATCCTATTGAAATGTATCTCACGTTCCCCAGTGAAAGACTCAAACCCACCTGATTAATATTTCTGCTAAAGTAAGACGCTTTCACTCCCGAACCCCAAACGACGTATGGTGTTAACACTTCTTCAGAAGTACCCGCTCCATGTGAACCCCAGTCGGTCATACCATGATCCGATGTGAATATAAAAGCTGTTCTGCAACGACAGTAAGGTTGAATGAAAGAATTTTTCAACAAAATAAAAAGTTCATTAAGTGGAATGAAAACGTCAAGACGCTACAAATGATGAGTAAACTTACTTATTATCATTGAAATAATTCGCCATAAGATTGCTAACATTTCGAATGGCGTTATCAACAAATACCAGATTTGTGATGTAATCGCTTGAATAAGGCTTACTGCTGTGTCCGTTCACGTCTATTCCGAGGAAATGCAAAAAGAACATTACACCATTCGCATTCAAACGTTCACTCAATGAGGCACTCATCGATGACTCGTTGAACATTTCCTTAACCGATGCATATGTAACCTTCGAACAATAATCAAAACGAGATAAATCGATGCATTTTCAAACTCGGATATGCAACACGTAAATTGTAGCTTACAAACACTTAATAGCATACCTCAACTTTGTCATGCACCCATTCATCTAACTTCCAAGCATTCTCGTCAAAAAACTGCTCCATTTCAGCTGGATAAACATCGCCATGCACATGAGCGACTTCGTCTGAGAACATTGATACAATATCGGGACTACCCCACGCCCAGGCTTCATGAGATCTTAATTTCATCTTCAGATTCAATGCACTCAAAACGGTATGAAATTCAAAAATAGATCACTGAGATAAATTCGGAGACCTGTTGAAAACGCTGTCGAACTGAACGGGATTGACCTTCCAACCTCGCGTCACCGCGCTAACATCTTCATAGAAACCAGCAAAAATAGCCACATGACCAGGGCGCGATTCTGTTGGTACGTGACTTGAACTAATGCCCCATGACGCCTGCAAATAACTTCATTTCTCTCAATGAATTATCCTCTAACAAAACGAAATTATTCGGGAAAGTGACAATTCCCTATAGAGTATTAGAGAGCAACGAAAGACGGAGAGAATTTCCAAAAGTTTCAACTGATTTTTCGATAAAATAAATGAATGTGATATTCAGTAGATCGAATGACCACAACAGACTGAGAATTTAGGGATATAACTGACCTTGGTGTTGTTGATGAGACTGTGTAAAAATGGCGATTTTTGTGGATTATCAAAGAAAGTGTCTGCACGTAATCCATCTGAATGGAACTTTCATTAAGAATTTTTTTCATCAGTGCAAAACGAACGAAATGAAAGCACAACTGAGAAGCGAACGAACGAAATTTTTCACCTGCAGAGAAAACGACGAGTCGTTTAGCAGGTCCATCGAGTGAAGTGATCGGATGTGCGTTCAGGTGTTGTATCAGCGGAGATGAGTAGTAGATATCGAATATTGAATAGAAAACGATCAGATGTAAAACCACTCCAAATATCGCTAGTTTTGCATAAACACTCAGTATCATTTTCCTAGTGCATCATCGTTGATTCCTTTCAACAATCTTAAATTCAACCGTTCTTATTGCCAATTTCATCTAATTATAATTAATTACCATCAGCATTGTCACTATTATTTACCATTAACAATCACTATTATTGTGGCTCTCCCAATCCCAATTGGAAATACACAGTTGAGGAACACACCACTGCGATGTTCAAGATTATCAGAAAAGTTTTAAAATTTTCGACTATTTGCAAAAGTAACCGTATACCACTGACATGAGCATGCACTGACCACTGTCGACCTCAATCGTGCATGAGAAAACAACTGCTCAGCCCAACAATGTAGGTCGGTCGAAACCCATCCAAACTAAACTTCCACAATGAAAGCAGCCCGAAAGCACATGTAAAAAAATTTCCAAATGTTTCAATAATTTTAGCGAAATACTTTCAAAAATGTTACAGTATGAGAGAGTGGAAAAATGCAACTTTTGTAATGGCTTTCACACGTCGAACGGTTGGAAACGAACATGTGTGTATTGTGTGGCAGAAATTGAATGAATAAGCAATTAAGAGAACGAATGCACAAATACTTGCTGAATTAAACAACAGTTTCATTGGCAAATTTCTATGAATTATGAAGTGATTTCACGAATAACAAATTTTTTTCAACCCATTCAATGCACCTGAAAATGTTACGCTAANGACGCCCTTAGTCATTTCTGATTTGTCGTAATTTCCTCACCAGACTACGAACCATCGCTCTCTTCTCTCCGTATCCATTTTTGTCGAGGTGACGACTGCACTGATTGGAATAATTGTCAATATTACATGCTTGTAATTGAAGTGTTGATGTGTTCCGTCTAATCGATATGATTGTTTCGGTGTTCCTTATGCGTTTTCTCATATCCATAAGAACCACGTTGGATTGGTTTGTTTAGATACGAAGAGATTGTAATGTGCAATGACTCGTTCTGGCTAGCTGGCTGTTGAGTCGTATTTCATTGCCACGTGTTTGGGTGACAATGAACCCGATTTGTAATGCATTTACGGATGCCGAATCGTTGATTCACTAAAGGGCGATTAATTGTGACTTAAGTGATGTTTTAAGGTGATGAGATTGATCGCGTTCACGGTGTTCCTGTGTGCGCATTTATTTGTTCGTGCAGATGAACACGATCGTGTATACAAAGATGGCGAAGAGGTTCAATTTTCTTTTATTTCACAAATTTATTTTCGTTTATTAATTGAAGAAACCGAGTGATTTCCTGTCGTTTAAGTTCTATTGCGGGAAGTTGCATAGATGTATTTGTGCCAATTATCTGTCATTAGTTTCAGAAAGAGTTGTGCAATTTAGAGTATTTTCATTGCTATTGTATGATCTTTGAAGGTGGTCTTATGGATGAATACCGTTGGTCCATACAATAATCGACAAGAAACATATACATATTTTTCGCTACCGTTTTGTCGAGGTCCAAAGCAGACAATCAGCCATTATCATGAAACACTAGGCGAGGCGCTCCTAGGCGTAGAACTCGACTTCTCCGGTTTAGATATCCAATTCAAAGGTTCTCGTTATCAGTTTTCATTCGGAAATTCGCGTGACTTAATGGTTATCGTTTTTATCAGTATGATTGTTATTACGTTGATATAGTCGATGTTGTGTTAACGATGAATCATAATTTCAGAGAACGTTGATAAAACAGTATTCTGCAAAAAAACACTGAATGCTGAAGAATACAAAGCGTTCGTGTATGCGGTACAGAATAATTATTGGTATCAAATGTATCTCGATGAATTACCAATGTATGGTAGGTCGTTGATCTTATTGTTGCAAATCTCATTTAATGACTTCTTGAACTGTAATCGAAGCGTTCGATTCAATAATTTAGGTATGGTCGGCGAGGTCGATTCATCAACAACACCACCAACCTACAAATTGTTCACTCATAAAAGGCTCGATATTGGATATAACAGAAATCAGGTTAATATCTTAACGATAGCGCTATTCTGTCTTCATTGTTTTTATTATTGTTTTTTATTTTGCAGATAGTCGACGTGAATATAACGTCGGATGTGCGAGTAGCATTATTGCCGAATGCCGAGATATCGTTCAGTTATGAGGTGGTCTGGAAACGTTCGGATGTAGATTTCGAGCATCGTTTCGATAAATATCTTGACCCGTCGTTCTTCCAGCATAGAGTGAGTTCATTCGAATGGGCCGGGAATTGCATTCATGAGTTGTGATCGAATAATTTGCAGATCCATTGGTTCTCGATATTCAATTCGTTTATGATGGTAATATTCTTGGTTGGCCTTGTTTGGATGATCCTTGTACGAACGTTGAAGAAAGATTATGCGAGATATCAAAAAGATGAAGAACTTGACGATATGGTTTGTACTCACATTCGTATCTTCTAACTGTAAGAAGTGCTATTCTATCAGCGTGACTAAATCCTCAATCTGAATGTTCATTTACTTTTGGCGGTCTATTTCAGTTATTTCACCAGTTCTATTGTCGTTTTGATTTTACTCATCGAAGAGAATATTGTCGATTGTTGCAAAGGAATGAATATGCTTGAAGGAGCGTGATCTGGGTGATGAGTACGGTTGGAAACAAGTGCACGGTGACATCTTCAGAGCTCCGTCGTTTCCGATGGTGTTTTCGGCGTTGATTGGTGCTGGTTATCACATATTCACTGTGTCCGTCATCACCGTTATACTCGCCATTGTCGGCGAATTCTACACTGAGTTCGTTTGTTTGAGGATAATGCCATTCAAGCTGAAATGCATGAATTTTCTGGTCATTGATGCGTGATTTGTTTTGTATTTCGCTTTCATGTTCGTCTCAATGCATTCTTCTGTGGAACTGCTCTATCGATGGCAAATCCTCAAAAACAATCCTCATTCAGTAAACTGCATTTCAGACGTGGGTCGTTATTGAGTGCCGCCATATTTGTGTACGCAGCCGCGTCGCCAGTTAATGGTTTTGCGGGTGGTTCGATGTACTCGAGATTCGGTGGAAAACAGTAGGTTACCACTTATAGTTGTGTTGGTTTTTTGGGTGATTATGGGTGTGAATTATGGGTTTCGTTTTGAGATGTTGATTCGTTGTTTGCAGTTGGATCCGACAGATGGTTTTGGGTGCATTCTTGTTGCCGTGCTCGATATCTGCAGTTGCGTTCCTGATCAACTTTATAGCCATTTATTATCACGCATCGCGAGCGATTCCATTCACGATCATGCTTGCAGTGACGGCCATTTGCTTTTTCGTTATTCTGCCGTTGACGCTGGTCGGCACGGTTCTTGGTTGGTCCTTTCATTGACAGTTTTGAGTGTAAAATGAATTAATTCATTGTGTGTTGCTCACACTTTATCTTGTCTGGTGCAAATTTCCATTTTGTTTGAATGGCAAAACTTTTGTTTTGAATGTACTGATTTATTTTCTCGCTTTGAGTTCCTCAAGTACCGTTGTTAAAATTTTGAGCGTTGTGGTTGTTCATGCTGGAGTTCTGTACCGTCGATGAGGGTGCAGCAGTATAGTTAGAAATTGCCAAAATCGCGAAATATTTATCATTGTCATGGTTGCAATAGTGGAGGTGACTGTGGTTTTGATGTCATAAAAGGTATGAAGTGCTAATGTGAAGTTGATTCCAGGTCGTAATATCAAGGGTCAGGGTGATTATCCTTGCCGAGTGAACGCTGTTCCGAGACCGATACCGGACAAGAAGTGGTTTGTTGAGCCATGGCTTATCATCATGCTGGGTGGAGTGCTGCCGTTCGGTTCGATATTCATCGAAATGTAATCGCTTTTCGAAGTTTTGAATATTCTTCGTTCGAATGGCATTACTCTTGTTCCACGATGACTACTATTTGAACAGAACGTTCGTGACATTGGAAAGCATCGAGACGATTAATTTTGGATTGTTTGTTTATTTTGGATTGAAGTCATTGCAATTGCTCGTTTGCAGGTATTTTATATTCACATCATTTTGGGCGTATAAAATCTATTACGTGTACGGTTTTATGTTGCTTGTGCTCATCATATTAGCAGTGGTAACGATGTGTGTCACAGTTGTGTGTACGTATTTCTTGCTGAATGCTGAGGACTATCGGTGGTATGTTATTTTAAAACATTCATTCATCTAGAGTTGATTGATTTGTACGTTTCACGTCCAGAATTAATTTATTCACTGAAAGTCAATTAATTCAATTTGCATTCGATGCGAATTTGACATATCTTAAAGATCTGTTTTGAATTCATTGAATCAATTTCAGGAGATGGACTAGTTTTCTGGCAGGTGCATCGACCGCATTCTACGTTTACCTTTATTCAGTTTACTACTTCATCTTCAAAACAAAGTTTGTGATTCTTTGTGTTTTTTTCAACATTTGCGCATTCTCATTGCTCACACTGAGGTGAATTCTTTGCAGGATGTACGGTTTGTTCCAAACGGTGTTTTATTTCGGTTATATGGGTGTGTTCAGTGCAGCGTTGGGTATTATGTGCGGTACGGTTGGGTACGTGGGTACGGCTAAATTTGTACACAAAATCTATTCGACGGTTAAGATTGATTGATTTTCGCTGTTTCATTGTACTTGATGAGATCGCTTTGGGAATGCGGTCGGTTGAGGCGTTAATGGTATACGTATTTTGTTGGGTGTATGCTGAGAGATGGATCGATTACTTGCTTTATTCATTGTCAGTGTGGCGGAAATTCGATGTGATTTCGGTGCTTTATTGCACCGACTCTTATATGCTCTTGCTTACTGATCGTCATTACCCAACTGATTCATTCATTCGATCCGTCTTGTTGATTCGTCGATTTTTGATTGTTCAAGTGATACACTACAATATTCGTAATTGATCTGACGTACCACTTACCATATAGCATATTGGTAACAGTAGTTATAGTCGAAGTCATTGTTTTTTTTTATGATCATGAGTTGTTGTTGTTGATTCGGTATTTTTGTTAATTGTTTATGAAGATGTGCTCGTTTGAATGGTTCGTGATGAGAATAATAATTGTTGTGCTAGTAACAGAGTGGATGTGGTGAGACCCTTTTTGTTTTGAACACAGTGATGATGACTCGGTAAGTTGTTAATTACCTGTTAATTCTTTCGATTGAGTTTATAACATTGTTTGAGTGAACGCTCGAGTTTGTATTTTAAGTTGTATTGTACTTTTNTGTGCAAGAATGGTCAATGGGGTGACTTTTTTAAATTATTATTTATTGTTGCGGTTTGAAATGATGGTCGTCGTATTACTTTTATTATTATTATTATTATTATTATTATTATTATTATTATTCGATTGCTTTCGTTTGATCCGTTTTCGTTCATATCCACATTTTGAACACAACATGACTGTCCATCTTCTGATGATCGCATAAAAGTTTCATCGTTCTGCATTTGTATTCATCACTCATCCGTGCATATTATCATGATGAGAGTATCACAAATTCTGGTATGATCACCTTCAAATCACCACGATTCATCGTCTATCAACACAGTCAAATCGAATATTATTTCAACTGGATTATTACTCAATAAAAACTCCTTGAAAACTTAACTGTTGTCAAATTTGATTTGTTATTCACTTCGAAAAAGATGCATCCTAGCGATTGGCAGTTCCTTATGTAAGTTTAATTGTAATCATCATGACATTCCTCTATAAAATGCAGTCCCTTAATCCAGTTGAAAATATCTTAACAATAAGTGAGTTGTAACATAAAACTGATGCTATACCAATTATGACTATTCGAGTCTCTTCTTCCATCGCATATGGAGTGGTTGAAAGCGTCCACGAAACTGTTTACGGGCTTTCGTGAACGCATCTGCACTGTGATTCCAGTGCTGCGATAGAACACGATTCAGCGCTTTACCACTCTCGATTCCTTTCGCCCCCAACATACTCAGTCTGCAACTAGTCTCATCGAAAACACCAACAACGATTTCTGATTGCACTATTCAAACAGAAATCACTATTGAAACGTTGCAAACGAACGATAACCTTGAAGTTAGTAACGGAGGCGTTTGGTGTCGTTCGGTGTTCTCATCAGCCTCGTCTTCATCACCTGACAAGTTACTCCTATAACTGATGCAATATTAAATTCATGCGTTCTGTTGTTAACAGTGCTCACATCGATCATTTATGTAACAAATAGAAACGGTGACGTGCGCAAACGCACAAACTGTTTAATCAGCAACAAGAAATTGACTGAATATAGCAAGAATTCACTTCCACTGACGTGACTGCTTACGAATAGCGTACTGAGACATTCCAGGTGCGTTAAAATTACCGTACATTTGAAAGCCACTCGTCAACTGAACTGAACACAATACAGTGACGATCACTACAAAAACAAATCCGAGATTGTTTGACATCATTCTGAAAGAATTCAAAAAATAAAAGGCATTCATGAACTGAATTGGATTCATGGATCATATCAAGAGAACGGCATTCAGTGAGTAAGATGTACTGTGAGAGTACACAAAAATAGTCGGACGTTTCGTTTCGCCTGGGAATGAGCACACTGAACAACAAGTAATCGACATCATGAAATACACCGTAACCAGAGACCACGATGCTGATGAGCATATCAGATATCATGGCTCTAGGCGGTTCGTTAGAAATCAAAATTTAGNATGTTTTCAAGAATAACAACATTTTGGTCGGTAGAATAAAACAGTGAAAACTGAATGCAGATAAATAAGATTGGGAAGTCCCTTATATGGGGCTTACATAGGTGTGAGACGAATTTCGAAACGGAATAAATTGCAAATCGCATTGAATAACGTTTGTGCGTATTTGTACTTACGCAATAATATTACACATTGTATGCAATAACAGTAAAGATGAAGTGATAAATAAACACAACGAAAATTTCAATGAAAATAAATAAGTTGAAATGTCGAATATTTGAAGAAGTCAATTGAAACGCAAATTGCATGCGATTTAATGTATAATAGAAAGAACTGAATGAAATGAAGCGTTTGCCAGTGATTACATGAGACGTATATGTGTGGTGTGCTCAAGGGGATTTGCTCGTGAATTTGTGCATAAACTGATTTGTGCGTAATGGAAATGGAAAACAATTTGTGAGTTTGTCTTAGTTTGGCATGAGCAGAGTATTGACCAATGAGGAGCAGCACTGAATTGACAGCGTTTTCAAACAAGACAACATAAAAGTCGAGTGAAGAACCATTTGCAATCTTTATGGCTTATATCCGTCAGTGAACATTCGTTTCCAATTGAAAAACAACAATTCAGAGGTGCGATATACTTCAGAATAATGGCAATATTATAAAACAATGAATATGGAGAATTTGCATTTAAGAAGCTATTTTATCATCCAAAAGAAGCTCAAAGCACCGCGATAAGACTCGATGAAAATATTTGCAATTGTGAGTTTTGCAGTTAGACAAATCGCGAATTTATTGAATGAGGCGCATAAATTCGTTGCTCATTCACAATGCACCAGCCGTTATTATTTTCATTTGAGTTACTGTCAAAGCTAACAACCAATTTATCATCTGATATTAGCGTTTGAATAGTTTGTTTGGTCACATTTTAGAATTTTCATCGTTGACTTGAAGAATTTCAAATGAGTGCGATGTTGTGAATGCTTTCGTTATTCATCCATCTGCTTTTCGATCATCATCATCAGAGCGGACTTCACTCAGAAAACATAGAGCAACGGTGCTTGATTGCATTCGAATTCCACAAGTGTTGTGAAATGAAGAAATGCAAATTGACTGAAGGATATCGAGATGAATGGCCTAACTGAATGAACGAAGGGTGGAAGTTTTTGCACGGAACGAATTAACACTCCGCCAACGTTCCCAAAGGATCGTAATGCAATGGGAGTACAACTGCTGCTGGATTTTGGCTGTGACGTTTCATTTTGAGTGAAACAAACGAGATTCCGTTTGAAGGTGGTAACCCACAAAAAGACTGTATTGTTTAGAATGAATGACAAATGCACTCACACACAAATATATTTATTCTCTAACAATAAGAATAACGCGAAAAAAAAAAGAGAAATGTCAAAACATTTATTTCATTTACTCAATCAAATTCGGTATCGTAAACAAATACAAAAAAAGTTGAAAATAAGGAACGACAAATGAAGACAAAAAGAACAAAATAAGAAACAAGCATTTATTCATTTGATATACAATAAGCGGAAGTAACTCTTACGAAGAAAGCTTGGCTGGGATCAATGTGGCCGATGAGTGATCCCGATGCAATGAATTCATCTTTCGCAGCCCACAGTGAGTTATTAGTGAATTGTAAGTCGACAGGTGAAAGTAGAAATACCATTGAAATGCCACTTTTGAAGAATGATTAACACGAAAAACTTCGTGATTACCAAATGGGCGACGTTGCCATGACAAAACTCGACATTTACAAGTCACCTGTTTCAACTTTACTTATAGAACAATTAGGATACTCAAAAAATGGTGAAGTGTCTTCAGAGTATGTTCGTTCATTCTATTCATAATAACACACTCGCAATTAAATGCACATAATTAAACATTCAACGATTTTCGCATAAAAAGGCAAAAAGCAAGTTGATAAGATGGATATAAAACATATGATGTGATGGTAGGTTCATACCGAGATAAGTAAGTATTGTTTGAGGTTGAAGGAGTTTAGGAAAGAAGTTGAATTGAGCGAGCTTATTCCTGACATAAGCAATAGATCATTCAACTGCAATAAATCGGATTCAACAACCGACACAAAGAGCATGTTTGCAGTCTTCAACGAACATTCAACGATATCACCGTATTGCAGAATTCATTCGAATCGATGAAGTCACAAATAATTATGTTGAAACTTGATGTATTCGAATATGATTGAATCCATTCAGTCACACGCTTTGTGCATTCCTTTGCCATATAATTTTCGAGTGAAGAACGCAGATGTAAACCAATGTCACGTACCCTGGGCGTCAGGATACCCTGCGTGACGAAGAATATCTCTCTAGGATACTTACGATGATCCGCGAGGGTTGTATCTAGAAAACGCAGCAAACGATACACGCGATTCACGTTTGGATATGGACTAAGAATGCATTTCGGAGGCCAGACCCATGCGTTGGTCGGGATACGTCGTTCACGGGCACTTATCACGATCACTTGATATCCGTTTTGCCACATTCTTTCGAGTGATAACTGCCTCAAGTCATCTTGACGTGGGCATAACTTTTGTGGATTGAACGCGATTTCGATGCTTTTCAGCAGTTGTTTGTAGGTGATGGCATTGAAATTATACAGGTGATTGAAGTCGATAATAATGACCTCTTTGGGATGACTTTCAAGGAATGCGTTCATCTCGTTCAGAAGTCGGTACAGCTCAGCACCGTAAAGCGCATGCACAACGCGAATGCTGGATGATAACGATCTACACGACGGTATTGTCACACGCATATCGAAGTACCGAATACCGCACTCCAACTGTTCTTTTATTGTCAACGATTGAGTTCGACCCCATCGCCGAACCACACGTCGAACTGCTGGCAGATGGCCTATCCAGCGCAACAGACGACCTTCATCATTCGCAACTGGTTTATTGCTCAGTAACGACGAATTTGCGAATGAATCGTGTGAGCCTGAACGTTTACTTCGAATTTCAATGTTTAAGTACATGTGTACAACTGCATCATTTGAAAGTCTTTACATTTTTCATTTAAAAGTCATTACACTTTTCATTTAAAAGCCATTACAATCATTACGAATCATACTAAAATTCATTTCAGTGATAATTTACTACACTCCATAATACGGAAGCTTCCATTAATTTTACGAATCGAACGGGCACAAGTGCGTGTTCATGGTGTGAATATGTCAATGGACTTGCACAATTCTTAGAAAAGACATGCAACCGAAACAAAAGATAGTTTATGACCCTTAAGGGCTGATGATCTAACTACACTTTCAGGCTGCTTGCATGTTACTTCAGAATGCCTCATTTCTAGGAGATGCCTATCCTGATATCACAATTCAGCATAGATTCAGACGGAAGCTCCTCCTGACAACCAAAAATTAAGATTCACTACTATTTTAGGAAACATGCATTCTTGGAAATCAGGACACTTATGCAGTTTATTAGTCACACGAACAGTTGATGATAATTTCATTCGGCGTACTCTCTGTAATATCGATAAAAATCACCTGGAATTGCTAAGTCGATAAGCGGACGTGAGGCAGTATCCGCCGGCAAATCACCCATCCAATTTTCAGCCATGCTCTTTCTTCACAGGTTAGAAAACCACGAAATGACATATTCCGATATCCATCTTGCTAAATCGTCCTAAAATGATGTTCATCTCTGAAACGAAGATAATATCTGTTGGCTTTCACGAATGACACGAAAAATAGCCACCATGAAACTGTTAACAAAAAATTGATGAAAACCACATTAAGTCGTCCTCATTATGCACCCATTTGTTGAGGATTATTAAATCTCAAGTTTGGCAATCTAATCTTAAACTTCTCATCTCATTTGAAATCCGTATTGGCAAGAAATTGCATTATTTTACCTGGCATCAATGATGACCTGAACAAATGAGTAGGTACCCACGAATTTTACGGTGCATAGCAAATATTTGCAATTAAATAATGTAAACGTATTACTGAAACAATGGAGATATGAAAGTACCCAAACGATCACGAAATATGTCAGGCAAATCGTTTCACATGTTGCAGTTGAGGAACACACACTATATAAGAAGCTTTCGAGGCGAAAAGAGAAAGAAAATTAAAAGTAAAATTTAAAGCAGTAGAATCAATACGCAAGATTACTGCCAACCCAATAAATCGGGCAATTCCGTTCAAGTGAAGATTCGATGAGAGACATACGTGTGCTCAAATGAAATGCCGTCGAATATGCAATAAGATCACATGTCTGTGCTCGGAGGTGATCGTGTCTATTATGCATTATAAAACATATGTTCGATGCTTGTTTGGCACTATCGAGCAGCAGTGTGTTGGTTGCATCTTTACTTGTTGCTAACGATAAATGCGAACGAAATTTGAGAGTAGAACACAAACAGAGCGAGATTGTCATGTGTCTGCAGTGCTCAGAGGTGATCCGAGCCTGACTTCAGTTGAATGCTTGCCGAATGAACTCATTCTGAAAGAGCGTACGAGCCAAACCCTGAGAAGTTGCGTGGAAAGCTGAGGGCAGGATTAGGTCAATGAGGTAGATGCGTAATGCAATTGAGAATCGCGAATGTTGTTAAACTGTTAGCGGCAATTGAATGAGAAAAACAAGCGAAATGAATCTTTATAAGGCACAAATGACATGAAAAGTGATATGATGCATCAATGAAAGTATTCAACGAAATTGAAGACAACATTGTTTTATGTGTGAATAGTTAATTGCTTCTCTGATTATTATAAATTTTTGCTTTTGCTTTCCTTTTTACTGTCATTTTTACTTTCATTTTTACTGCTCTCCTTTTTACTGCTCTCCTTTTCATCCTCCTTACTCGCTTTGTCTTTACTTTTACTTTTGTCAACACTCTTCGTTTCAGCTGAGGTATTTCTTTGACGTTGACGATCTCTACTCTTGATGCATTCCAAGACAACGTTCGTTAATGGTATATGTAACATCACAATCACTATTGAAAAGATCAATCCGATCAGGAATGACGTTCCCAGTGGCACTAAGATATTACCAAATCCGCTCTGCAAGTCAGTATGTCATTAAAACAGCCAACAGTTGAAAACAGCATTTTCTTGAGGTCATAAACGGTTGCTGATTTATTAACGAAGTTATCTTAACAAATCTCAACTATCGAACACTCAAAGAGAATATTCATTATTTATTTCATTTATGACACGAATCGAAATTTTAGAGAATATTCAAATTTAAGAGATATTCTCATAATACTTTTCTTTATTTAATTTCGAATAAACATTTTTCTATAAAGTGTATTATTAATGTTGTGAATGAGCGAATTACGCCTATTATACAATCCGTAAGAAAACACCATTTCAAAACAAGCAATATGCTGCGAAATATGAAGTGGATCGGTGGATGATTCAACCGGTATCGGTTGCTCTTCTCAATCAGATCAAATGCCAGAGGCCAGAGGCAATTAACCATGAAACACACTCACATATTGATATCTAACTCCTTCCGACTTCAGTTTACCAGACAACTCCGCACTCGCCAAGGTCGTACTCTCCTCTACAGCCACGTCCGTACTCTCCTCTACAGCCTCCATCTTCGTTGGTGCCAAATCAATGACTCACAACTCTCAGAAATGCTATTATATAGAGGAGTGGCGACGAATATTATTCAAAATTTACTACAATGACGTGGTCAAATTTTGCGAAGAGAAAGATTTTGAATACAATATGAAGCGAATTAATCATAAGCAAATTACAATAAATAAGCAGTTAAGACCATCGAGTTAGTGGATCACCCTTCAAGTGATGCATTTAGCAATAAACTTATCAAACCGTTGCAATCAAATAAACTTATCAAATAAACTGCTAATACTCCTTCTGGAAAGCAACTTTTAGATACGTCGTAACTGTTGTGAAATGTTCCCTTCGTTTTGCACCATCACTCGACATTGTTTCACTCGCAGACGAAGCGTTCTTATCCTCAACAACCCATCTCATCTTATTGCAGAAGATGACCCTATCTCGTAGCAACCTTGAAACTGTCTTGACACCGCGATAATGCAAGCAGGAAATAATCATTTAATAACATGATATCGAATTCTGAACACTTTTTCAAGGTGCAAAAGTACAGTTTCATTAGCAGATTGATTGAAGTGAACGTTTTGATGGGTGTGAAGTGACATTGTTAGAAAATTCACTGAAATAAACCAACAATGATATAAGTTAATTGCAGAGGGGTGCTGTTCAGCCAACAGTAATTGTACGAGAAAATTGATGAGACGCTGATTTGGAAGCCGGTTTTGAGCAGTTCTGTTATTTTATTCTTATTGATGCCCAGTGCAACACTGGTAGGATGGCTGAGTGTTTTTTTTGATATATGTCAAACAACGACCCCATTTTAGTTGGTTTTGATGACACCTTTCTCTTCGATGTTACGTTCGTCCTTATTTGTCGGAACACATCACTGTGTTCCATTTCACTTCAGTCTTCAGTTTTGCGCAATTCGTTCCTCTGAAATTACTTTGAAATGCTCGTCAACTACAACTGGGTGACTCTTAATGATTACTTCCCTTAGTTCCGATTTGAGGACAGTCCAACGCAAATTATGATTCGAATTTATCTTCAAGAAATTTCTCGATTTCAATACCAATTTTTGAAACGTTATTTTGAATTCGATTCGTTCAAAACGCATTCGATTTGTCTGAATCAATCTTTATGAACTCCCATTTCAGAGGTGCTTTGAGAGGCAACCCTGAACATTTGCTGAATATTTGAAAATTAATTTCTTTAATGATGTTCATAAAACGGGATACTTTATCAAGAAGAACAAATTGTGCATTCATCGTTCCCATTTGTTTCTTGTACGAAATTATTCAGCCATTCGTTATTGTTCAGTCCATTTGATAATTATACGATTCAACTAAACAAATGAATATTTCGAAGTTCGATTATAGCTGTTTGAAAGTATTTCTCTTTTATTAGGCGCATAGTGAAGATGCTTCTTGGTAGCATGGAAAAGTAAGCTTTGAGCAGCCTGTGATAAGTACTCCCTCAGAATATTTGGTTACTTTATGTCATCTATCAGAGCAGTTGCATCCATCGTTATCAGGGTTTGATTCCTCAAGTTGAAGTAACTCGTTCAGGTAACGTCAATGATGCATTCGCAGTCAATTGTGCTCACATGGTTGCTCGTCATCGCGGTGAGTACTGATGCGACGAAATACAAGAATGTGAAGGAACTGAGCGAGAAGGATGTTGTGGGACAGTCAAAATGCATTGTACTCTTCACCACTGCGAATGATACCGACAATCTGAAGGCACTCGATGAGGCTGCTGCGCATTTGCCATCCGGGGTTATTCTCTTACATTGATCCACACTCAGCAGTTTTACGATATGACATTACCAATGAATTTTGGATGCTTTTAGCAAAATCGCTTAAAACAGCCACTCCATTCGGTATCATCAAATATTTTCCATTGATGTTCCCTCATTTCTATTGCAGCTTGTCATCCACAAAACTGACTAATTGTAAGCCATTGTTTGAACCATAAACACAGCTTATGCTATTGGAACGAACCCAAACTGTTGGGGCATTACAAATTTTCGTGTTGTTTTTCTCATTCGAGTGACTCGCTTGGGTACCTTTTTGATTTGCCTTCGAGGAATGCCCGAATTGAAAGACATTAAGTTTGCTAATTTTCACCTCATTTCTGAACTATATTTCCCAATGGTCACAATTTTATTTGACAAATAACTTTTATTCAAGTAATTGATGGGAGTTTTCGAATACAAAATGTAATTTCGATGCGAGAGAAAATGAGTTCATTGCCACACGTGTCAGTGAACGAACCGTTCCACATACGGTAGCAGCTAAACTGCAAAGATGCATTTGTTACTACGCATTATTCTTCATGGTTTTTACGCAAATATTCTTGTTCTTCTCGCGAATCACTAATGAAGTGACTGACTCATGAATAGTTCGCTGAATAGGAACTGTTGTGTACGACAAGTGGAATTTATCATCATGAATAATTTGGAAGAAAAAATTGTAGTCGAATGAGGACAAGAAATTGGATCAATTCAGAGCATTTTTGGGTCACTTGTCTGCTGCAATAGTCATATTATTTGAAGAGTGACTATGAAGAGGATCTTCATAAACAATGCAGCTAACGGCGTTTCAGGTCCGCAGTCGATATGTCCTTGTAAAGACGACTATTGACGAAGCGTTAAATACCCCCGAATTAGAGAGTGTCAAGACTCTGTTCGCTGATGTTGATCAATTACCATTTGTCGACTACGTTATCACAGCAAGTCTTCCAGCTAATCTGACTGCGAACTTCACATTCGGAAGAAAAGTCGAACATGTCGGTTCATTCATTCACAGTTTTGAACTACTCAAATTCGAGTGATATCCCGCAAAAACAGCATCTCCAAATCGATTTTTTAAGATAATATCATGCTAAAGTTGATTACACAATACCAAGAGATTCGACCTGATTGTATAATATTTCTATTTCATTCCCACAACAGAAACAACATAAAGAAATTTTCAGTTGAATGCAACCGAAATTCCTGATACGTTCAGTAAAGTGAACACAATTGGGGATGAAACCTTCGAGCTGTACACCAAAATAAAAGACATCCAAAAGTTGGCCAAAGCGGACTCTTTGAATGAAGAAGAGCTGGCACCGATCTACGCACAATTCTTTAAAATCACATCTGGATCAATCGAGAAACTGGCTCAACTCAGTGCGCAGTTGAATAAGAATGGCACAACTAAATCCAATCAGAAACAAAAACGCTCAACGTTATCCTTCAAGTTCTGTTCACGACTTCAAAACGTTGGCACATTGTGCGTTTGAATTGTTGACGATCACTGAAATACAGTTTCTTCTCGTACACGTTCAGTAATAATAAATATGCTTGTAATAAACTTGTTTGACGCTGATTACACATTCGTATTGTTGCCGACAAATGAGGCATGTTATTTAGCATGAATATAAAGAATAATTGCTCGAATTGGGAATTCACCTAGGGCAGTGGTTCTCACGTTTGGGTGCTTCATTACCCTTTTTGATGAACCGGCAGGTCGCCGTTACCCACAAATTACCGAAAACGGGTAAATTGGCTTCTCATGAGACCACTGTCCTAGACTGTTGCGTTGCTCATCATTGTAATCGATTATGATTGCATGAAAAGTTGTAGTCTGTGACATTCTCACTTCAAACTGATTTTGATGGATTCTCATTGTTTTTAGACGTGTTGCATTCACTCTCAAAGCTATCATATACGAATATCGTTCTTTTGATGAGTTTTTCTCATTCATTTATTTTCCTTCACAGTTCGAAACAACTTCTTATTCTGTAGCATATACTATTTACTGGAAACGTTGACGAGTTTTGACAGCCGAAAACAACAATACAGCAATCGAATTGAATTGCTCAACAATGTTCTACAGTCAAATGATCAATTATAGAGTGTATTTGATAGAATGAGAATTTGACTCTAATTGTTGAATGAAATGAATGAGAAATTAGCAAAAGAGAATATTTTTGGTGATAAAAGTTATGAGAGCGATTGCAACAGCAAGGAAAAGAATGAAAACCCCGTTAGGCCCGAACGAGTTAATGATACTCAGAAAATATGAGATCGAAGAGTGTTGCCATCAACTGTAATGATCGGAACAAGACCTCAGTTGCATTTCCTTCCAACATCTAATCCTAGCTCCAAAATAAGCTATCAGAGACACAGTTTGTATCCAACTCAGTGAGTTAAAGTTGTACCATTGTTGATTATGTAATAACGAGATATTGCTCTTCCGCACAAGTCAACTAGCAGTGATCAAAGAGCAGGTCGCTGCACAACATACTGATAAGTAGCAGCTGCTTTCATTAAGACTCGACCAACATCACACATTAATTCGTTCACCTCACATGCGATAGCTATCTTCAAGACTGGTTATTACTAAATCTAAATGTTGGTCTCAAACTTATTTGTTCAGCGAATAATTTGATGAACAGTTACGAGCTGACCGCTCATTCGTTCTTTTACCGCTCATTCGATCGCAACGAAACTCTGTTTGAATTCATCTGCATAAATCGCTTACAGTTGATTGACTTGTCCAACGATCATACTATCTGCTACTATGAAAGCAATATTGGTGATACTTCTACTGGTCGTGACAGACGCGTTCGTGCTAAAGACAAGCGAGATGAAGTCAGCAAGCGAACAAAGTCCTGTAAGTGCACTGCTGCTTGTCGTTGAATTTGAATAACAATTAAGGAATAAGTTGAAATGTGTTCACTTGCAGTTATCTGTCAAAAACGAAAGTGGAATAAAAGGTGGAGAAACTCAAACCACCTTGCATAAAGCAGGTAATTGTTGCCTTTGATAGTAATTGACTGAATTTGTAAACTTTTCTTCGTCGTTTCGTTCTGACATCTTCATTTCAATATCGATTCTTTACAGAGCAACTGGCCGAGAGAATATCAGCTGTTCTATATGATATGAGGAGTTAGTTGGTTATTATATATTCAGTTTCGAATGTGTTTATGTTTTTATGCTTTACCCTATTCACATTCCATTGCACGCTCAATTTCGCTCAGTTCAGTGATCGTTTATTTGACCTTCGCACAATGAAGACGCTTGAGAAGAGCGGCACCAATTTCAGCTACACCTTACTTTATCATCTGAGATGTTTTGAGCTTTTTACTTTTCAGGAAAATGATAAGAAACAACAAGAGAAAGTGCATTGTCTACTTTAGTTACTGCATTGGCCCATAAGCTGCAGTTGCTTCAACTTCGTCAACTTTGTTGAAAACGTGAATCCGAAGAAATTATTCTTTAATTTTACAAATTCTGGGAAATATCACATAATCGAACGGTATAAAAACGATGTGTTTTGTAATCGATACATAAACTCATTATTGAATTTCGTGATTTTTAGTGTGCAGTTTGTTTCTTTTCATGGAACATGACAAGAATTTCTTAAACCAAAATCTCAAACGACCAATGAAAACGCATAGTACAAAGAAAGGTGTTTGTGAAATAATATTCAGCATCAAGTTTTAAAGAGTGCACTCTAGTGTGCAAAAACAAACTTTAACGAAGCTTGATGCTAGTGTTGAAGAGGAGATTTCGATGGCTATAGCACAGTATAGTCAGGCCAAACTGCTTTGAATATCATCATATTTCACAAAATCAATATGAATGACGCAGTTGCACATATTATCCTCCGCTTTAAACATGACGAATGTTCCTAAGGAACGCCAACGTCTGAGATGTCATTAATTCGATGCCTTCTCGTATTCTGTTTATTCAACTGATTCCTTGATTGAACGTCTTTGCTGACTCAATAAAACCTTTCCTTATCCTTTAAATACTCAGAAGAAACATTGCACGCTAAACAAGTGCAGCTTACTGAATTTTCAATACGAAGTGTATCTTCTTGGAACAATATTCATATTCGTTTGATTCAATTGTAATATTATTCGATAAACTTTCACTATGTGCTTCTCTTTTATCATCGCAAGTTTGATCGTACGTCGATATTGGAGCAAAAAGTCTCATAAAAGCATCAAATTTGAAATTGAAGAAGAAAATGAGTATAGTGAAGGTGAAACTGAAGATAGAATCGAAGTTAAAGAAGATGAGTTTGATCTGTTAACGTAAGTTGCTTTCTTGAGAATATTTCCTCTCTTATGAAAAACAATTCTTGAACGCAATTTCCCTTCACGGCCGCTTTATTGATTGTGAGAGAGCAGCACTCAAATTCCTTCATCAACAATGAACTTGCTGCATACTTTACCTTGAATTACCAAACCTTGTTTGATATTAATATTGAATTATCGTATATGGAAAAGTCAAATTTCCATAGATCACGGAATGAGATTAGCATATGCATTAACGTATTCGCTTAAATTTGTTAATGTTTTACAAAGAATTGCCGGAAAGGGAGATTATAAAAGGCAATGAAATATAATCCGAAATTATTTGAGTATTTGGTTGTTAAACTCGGTGGTGGCACCGAGTCTTATAGAGGATCGTTCTGCTGAAATAAATAAAGTACGAGGGTGTTCATGATCTTAATAGTTGTTGCTGTCGTTCGAAGATTCTAAGTAATTGATCGCGAAGAAGAACGAATCGGTGAATATTGACCGGTGATTCGAACAGTCCTCAATGAATGAATGACACGTCTCGCTCAATGTTTTACTACCATTTCCACTTCGTTGAATTCTATCGCAAAAACAAATTAAATAGCCATGGAAACAACTAAGCTTAATCGAACACGGTAACGATAAGTCGTTCAGTAAATCTGAATGAAAATCAATCAAAGAGGGT